ATTTGTCCTCTGACCATCTTCTGAATTACCCCATTTGGGTTTCAAAAGACTATAATTTAATTTAATATTTTGCAATCAACTTTGGGCATGGTTGAGTGTAAGTACATTCCTAAAATGAATCATGGCCCTACTGTTTGCCTAATTCTCCTTTTGTTTCTCTTGGTCTCTGTTTGCTATTATTATATTCCAGGAAAAGATAGGATGGTAAATTATATAGTATAAGCTTTGTTGGCTGGGACATATTGCTAAGAAATCTCTGAGCTATTTCTCTTGAGCAAATATTTCTAAATTTGTATTAGTTTTGGCATTAAGTGAAAATGAAGTATTTTGTCTCCATTTCTTATGAGAAACATAATTTGAATGCATATTATTTCATTCAGTGTTTTTTTGAATGCCATCTGGGTGCTTAATCCAAAATTTTTGTTTTTATTTTAATAGTAAGGCCTTTGTTTGCAAAGATAATCTCTTATATTTATTTTTTAGACACTAGTATATCTAAGACAGTGCAAGGAACATTATACAACTTCCATAAATAGTTATGAAGTATTTGAAAAACTGCATTTAGGGCAACACTCTGTTGTTTGAACATTTGGTCCAATAGTTCCTGTAACTCTTTCTTATTTTCCATGATTTTTATCATAGACAAATTGTTCTTTAACTCTAGCAGGAAGTAGATTTTCTTTTAAATAAATAAATTCATAAATAAATATACAAACATTATAAATGTGTATGTTATATATTTTTACATTTTGTATTTATTTATATATTTATTTATTTCATTTTGAAAACAAAATTGGCCATAACCATAAGAGGACATTGCCAGAGACCACACTCTGTGTGTTGAACATTCCTTTGGCAGAACTCTCTGAGCTATGACCTCCCCAGAAGAATGAAGCATAGAGTAGCACAAGTGCTGAGCTGACACTTCTAATGATGATCTTCTCTCTTACACTTGGAAGACAGGTTGAACCATGAAAACACGTATCTTCAACCAGAATAGTTTGGGTTACAAGAAAGTGGTAAAGAATGGGACAGAGCCCATTTTAGCAAATGAGGTTTAGAGGGAGGATTTTAGAAGGGACCTGGACAACCTGTCCAGTGGTTCAGTCCAATGTTTAAACACCTCTAGTGACTGAAATGTGAATGTTTGGAACATCAAAAAGCACACATTCAAATTTGGCATCTGGATTATGTGTGCCTCTGATCCTTCCCATTTCATCCCCATTTCATAGTTAATAAGGAGTCAACAGAACTAATATATCTGACCGTACTTACCTAAACACAGCATCTCCCCTGCATTATTTATTACCATTCAAAGAAACAAGGTGTTGCCAATCTTACGGCTCTATATAACTGCACCAGTCCCCTGGGAAATACTCCCAGTGCTAAAGTCTGCCAACACTAAGCTAGTCTCAATAATCTATACTTGGCAAGTCATTCATTTTAGATATCAACCAAGATAAGAAAGACAGCAGAGACCGAAGCAGAAATAGGCAAGCTTGTCATAAACTCAAAGAAATGGAAAAGAAGGAGGGGCAGCATCTGCTGAAATTGTTGGAGGGAAACAACAAATAACAAAGAATGACATGTACTAGGTAGAATAATTCAAGTTGAAAAGGAAGAAGAATGTTGGAGATTCTCAGAAGGAACAAAACCAGAATCATCAGTCAGGGCAAAAGGGAAGAGAATGTTTAGAGAAAGTCTTAGAAAACATGGTTCAGTGAGTAACCTTGGACTGAAGTCCTTTAAACTTCACCACATCGCAACATCCTTCTTTGTACTCCTCCCCTCCAGGGAGTTATACTGGAACATTCTGATGTTTCTGACTCTAGAAATTAAAGTGCAGACAGTGGCTGACTTACAATGGTTCAACTTGTAACTCTTTTACTTTATGATGCAGAAAAAGTAATGTGTATTCAGTAGAAATACTTTGAATTTTGCATTTTGATCTTTTCCTGGGCTAGTGATATATGGTATAATTAATACTCTCTTGTGATGCTGGGCAATGGCAGTGAGCCACAGCTCCCAGTCAGCCACACAATCATGACAGTCAACAACTGGTACTCCACAGAGTAGTATTAAATGCATTTTCAACTTATAATATTTTCAACCTATGATCGGCTTATTGGGTTGTAATCCCATCATAAATTGAGGAGCATCTGTATATACATGCATATTTTTAATGATATCAGTGCCTTCTCCAAACTCTAAATTTAACATAGCATCCTTTATAATTGTATGCCTTGTGCTTTATCTCACTTTTATAAAAAAGAATGTTCACATGGAAATCAACTAGTAAGCATTAAAAAAAGAATGTTGTGAAAGTTGTCAGTAGATTTCCACATACATATCAATATATGTAAAAGAAATCTTCTAATTCCTTAACACCTTATTTTTGGATCAGCTCCCCCATAAATAACCTTTTCACACCTCAGAAAGAACAAGAACAGAATACATTTAAACTGGGTTTCCTGGATGAGTCCAAAACCTTGTCAGAAGATCTGAAGCCTTGAAACCATAGGTTTTCACTATATGTGTAAAGTGACACAAATTTATTCCAACTCTGTAGTCTGTTATTTAAAGGAACCATGCTCTTATCTCTTCTTGGTTTTACTTGTTCATTTGTTTTGCTTTGCTTTATTTCAGTATTGAAATTCCTCCACATCTGGCAAAAGTTTGTTTGCTGTGGTAAAGGGGAGAGGGAAGAAGATGGGATGAGAAGAAGGAAATAATATTGAGATGGGTAAGGGGGAATTCTAGAACCATTTTTTTATGCAGGTTTCCATACCAAGCCAGTGGTAATGAGGACTTGCTACATGCCAGACACTGGGTGAGACCTACGAGGCACCATGCTAGATGGACATCAAAGAGAGCAAAGAAACGCAACAGCTTGGCAGACACACTGACTTTGAAACCCATTTGCACAGGCTGCAGAGAGCCTCTTGTCTCCTGGGGAGGCTTTGGCATGGCCAGAAAACATCAAAGACACTCCAGACTTCAAATCCCTTCCAAGGGTGGGATCAGCAGGACAGGAAATGGGAAAGTCATCCTAGAAGGGATTTAGAAAGGAAGGGGCTTGTCCAAGGACATAACTGGCCCTGAACATGAGCTCTCACCATGTGTACATTCAACAGACGTGATACAGTGAACAGCTTGGCACCCCATCAGTAGCAAGTCTTACTGTAGCCCCCTACCAAGAAACTGCAGGGAATAAAGCAAAATGAGAAAAGATAATTCAATAAGAGTGTTTTGTCATCTTCATGGTCGACTTCACATTTTGAAAGGATACCATGAAACAAGAAAGCCTGCATTCTAAAACAACAGAAGCATAAATAAATATCCAAAGGGATAGGAGAATACCAAATTCAACCAAGAGAAAACGAACAAGCAGGGTTTGCCTGAAATATTATCTGGCATGCTAGACTAAAACTCCTGCTAACCCAGCAGGGGCACTTCATGCTTATAATACCTCAGTATGACCAAGGAGCCAAAAGTCGCCAACAAACACAAGGAAAGGTCTTTAGTTCCATGTCGCTGTGAAATAATGACGGACTATGAAATCTGCCCATGTGCAGAGCCCAAACAAGACTGAAATTACACATGTGGCCTGCTACTAATGTAGGATGGCTAATCTTTTTTTTTCAAGATACGAAGTTCCTACAAAAGCAAGGGGTGGGGGGTTTCTTGAAGGGATAAGAACATGAAGGCAAATACCTCATAGGCCAAGATCTCATGGGGATTAGGAGTGGGCACTAAGGAGCCTGGGTAAAAGCAAGGATATGAGGCAAATGTGATGGTATCAGAAAATAAAAAAGATTACCTGGTATAGTCAGAATTGAGCTCTGTGAAAGACCAGAGAATAAATATGTTGGGCTATGGGGTATATTGTCTCTGTTAAACAATTCAATTCTTCACCTATAGTGTGAATGCAGCCACAGACAGTATGTAAAGACATGGAGTAAAAAAAGCCTCTTCAACAAATGGTCTGGATACATATTGATTGTAGGTATTATGTACATGTTGATTAAACCAAAGAACACATACTGTACACACATATTTATATATTTTCAAATAAATGAAAATATAAATTAAAAAATATATATTTTAGGTTGAACAAAGCAGAGATTTTAAAGTAAGCCTATAGAGAGTGGGAAATTTTAAAAGAGCACTCAAGCCCAGTGACACATGCATGCAGTTTGCAGGCCATGTAGCATAGTGGTCAAGCTCAGAGTTTCTGGAATGATGCCAGCTTCACTCTTATTAGTGTGAGTTAGAAAGTTCCTGAACCAGACCTCAGAAAACATGAACATAATATCAATACTTGCTTTATGTGGCTATTGTGCAGACTAAGCAACACAACATATGCAGAGCACCAGACTGGACCCTAGTACATATTAGGGACTCAGTAAACATTCAGTATTAATATCACAAATCTGTTAAAAGCTCTTTGCCCCATATCCCTTTGCAGTATCCACAGAAACTAACAGCAAAGCAGCGACCAGAGGGGAGAGAGAAGGGAATTTAAGGGGAAAAATGGGGAGGGATTTTGAGGAACAAGTATGAAGGACACAGGGATGAGGACTGGGGGAAGGGAATGGGAGAGAGGGGAAAGACAGATTGGGGGGGCTGGGATGGGAGAAATAGACAAAAAATGTACTTGAAAAATAACTAAATAAAAATTTTTTAAAAATTTAAAAAAAGAGTAAACAGTAGTATTTAATCACACCTGCTGCTTGATTTAGAAATTAGTGTTCAATAATTTGTTTGATTCCCTAAATTGCACAATATAAACAGGCATACATACAGAATACAAAATTTATTTTCTTTTTTCTTGGCATTATTTCCACCAGTTATTTTTCAGTGGCTATTAAACAAATACATTTTTCTATGTACCTAATTTTTTGTTTTAATTCATCTTCTTAGAATAGAGTAAATGCCTGTTCCTTGTCATCTGTATTAAATCTCATAAATAATTCTTAATGTCAGGACAACATTCATACCTTAGAACAATGTTCCTCAATATTCTCAAAGGAGCATGGTCTCCAGATGTGAATCGGTCCCTCTATAAAAAAAAGAATTCTATGTTAAAGTTACTTTGAAAAATGTTGGATTAAACAATGTTAACAAGGCATGCAGGGTTTATCATAGCCTTAAATATGCTAATGTGTGCTATGGATCTCCAAGAAATGAATATAAAATGCCATGTTTTACCAAATCACGTGTCCACACAACTCTTTTTCATGAAATTACCTCTTTCACAGAACTATGATCATCTGACAGAACTAATGCTCCAAGATAGGCACTTTAGGACAATCTATATTAGAACTACATGAAATCTACTGACTTTACCCTGGAAAGTGGGGTCACAATCTCCTGAGAACACAATCACTTTTCTACTCAGATGGTCTGCCTGCATATCAACAATAGTACCTATAAAATGTCAGTGCCCTGACTTCCAGGGTTAATCTTGATTTTGCTGGTTGGGAAGGTACCTCCTTTCTCTTATACCACTCATTCCATAGATTTCTTCTGCCTTAATAAGCTGAGATAAATCAAATTCCTCAAAAGATGAACACAGTACTGTTTTCAGTCTAGGCCATCACTTGTTCTGGAAGTGTGTTGTGCTGAACCTGTAATCAGTGGATACACTGAAAGATAACAAAATCTCCATTTGTATCATATTGTCTACAGCTGTTTAAGCCTGCATTCCAACTTTGTCCCTTGATTAGTGTTTCTCAAACTTTGGGATCATAAGAATCACCCATGGAATCTGAAATAAATAATGATTCTGTGGTTCTACCAGCCCATGTGTTTGGAAATGCTTCCCTGGTGAGGCTTACAATAAAGCAACTTTGGGAAATTCAAACTTAGCTACACATTACAAACCTTATTTTTGAAAATACCAGAATCCTAAACAAAACCTAGTGAATCAGAATCTCCAAAGGTGGGCAAGGTATCTGTATTTTTGAAACATTTAAGAAATTTGGAGAGCCAGTTCTCTGAGGGGAACTGCAGCTCCACCCCTCAGGTTCTTCTACTGACAGAGGTAGAGATGAAACTGCAATGCAGCTCCTCCAACATGCAGTCCCAGGCTTCTCCTGTGAGGTCACTTGATATTGGCCATAAGATACTGACCAGCATGGCACTCTACATGGGGTGGAACCCAGGTATACACTGAATAAGGAAGGAAGGAATGTCAATAGTATCAATAATATCTAAAAGTAAACAGGTTCCAGAAATGCTTTGCTTCTTTGCCCAACCAAAAAAAAAAAAGGATAACAACCAATTTAAAAACAATAAACAAACAGAAGTGCCAGAAAATCAAACTGCATGGAACCCCAACAGCCAAGGAGTTGAAGAAATATTTACGTAGACTGGTAGGAGGGGCAGAGATGGGTAGGCAAGAGGAGAGGACACGTGGCAAGGTGGAGGACCATGCAGGTGAGATAGGCCTGGCCAAATGAAAAACTAAAGACTCAAAACCTCTAGCCATAAAATACTGTGGGGGTTGTGACGGTGGGAAAAACTCTGTCTCACAGAAGAGTTTTTAAGAAAGTAGGGCTAGAGCAGAGAGAGCGAGTGCCACTGTTCCCTCTCTGACTCCTCCACAGACAGCACCACAATGCAGCAAAGAGGGTTGCCCAACCCTGGCAAATACCTAAGGCTCTGTCCTTACAATATAACGGGTGCACTGACACAAGGAAATAAGGCCCGAATGAAAGAACAGATCAAAACTCCAGAAAAAGAGCTAAGTGATGAGGAAATAGATAACCTGTCTGATGCAGAGTTCAAAACAATGGCAATCAGGATGCTCTCAGAATTGATTGAGCTCAGGCACAACATGAAGGGAAAAATGAAGGTTACACAAGATGAGCCTTTCTTAGGGTATCATACCTGGGAGTACATTGTATTACTAATTATGTTAACTTCAATCACCTGGCTAAGGAATCTGTCAGGACTCTCAATTATAAACTTACTATTTTTTCCTTTGTAATTAATAAATATCTTGGGAGAAATACTATTCAAACAAATAACCTGTTTCTTTTTAGACAATTACCCACTCATTTTAACATTGGTTGGTAGATTTTTTAAAGATTATTTATTTGTTTGTTTGTTTGTTTATTTTTAGAAGGAGGGGAAGGGAGAGGGAGAGAAGTATCAATGTGTGGTTGCCTCTTGCATGCCCCCCACTGGGGACAATGCCGGCAACCCCAGCATGTGTCCTGATTGGGAATTGAACCAGTGACCCTTTAGTTTGCAGGCTGGTGTTCAGTCCCCTGAGTCACACGAACCAGAGCTGGTTGGTGGATTTTGTCTTAGATAATTATTACTGAGGTTTTAATAATTCTATTTTGAAGTATTTTGTTTAAAAATTCTATTTCTATCATTCTGTCTGCTTTTATTAGGAATTCTTCTGTAAGGAAAACTTGTTGCTTCCTCCCCATTTAAGGCAAGAGATTAAAAAGTCAAAAACAGGTTGCATAATTTTTAAGTAGACCAGCAGGACGGCATGCATCATTAATTGGGTCTTCAGAACATGATGTTATGCCACCACCCTCTGATGGGATTCTACACTAAAGACAAGCAAAACATGTACCAGATGGAAAGTCCTAGAGTTTAAACATAAACATAGAGTTAGGGCAGGCATGACAGGGTGGTGATGATGTGAAGAGGGCTTATTCCTGTCAGTGTCCATCTGAAGGAGATAGAAATGCTAGCCCAGAACAAAATTTCTGGGGTTCAGAGTGTGTAGGCAGAAAAGGTTGAACAGATTGGCGGCAGTTGTATGTTTGCTGAAAAAACAAGTTACTACCAATAGAGTTCAGACAAATGGTGGCAGGAATAGTGAAGACACTTCAGACAAAAAACATAGGCCAAGATCTCATGGGGATTAGGAATGGGCACTAAGGAGCCTGGGTAAAAGCAAGGATATGAGGCAAATGTGATGGTATCAGAAAATAAAAAAGATTACCTGGTATAGTCAGAATTGAGCTCTGTGAAAGACCAGAGAATAAATATGTTGGGCTGTGGGGTATATTGTCTCTGTTCAACAACTCAATTCTTCCCCTATACTGTGAATGCAGCCACAGACAGTATGTAAAGACATGGAGTAAAAAAAGCCTCTTCAACAAATGGTGTTGGGAGAACTAGACAGCTACATGCAAAAAATGAAACTCAATCATCAACTTACACCATACACAAAAATAAACTCAAGATGGATAAAAGACTTAAATGTAAGTTGTGATACCATAAAAATCTTAGAGGAGACCATAGGCAGGAAAATATCAGATATTCCATGCAGCAATATTTTCACCTAGAGCAAGGGACATAAAGGAAAGAATAAACCAATGCGGCTTCATCAAAATAAAAAAACTTTTGTATGGCTAAAGAAATTTCAGCAAAATGAAAAGGGAACCAACTATATGGAAAAAATATTTTCCAATGATGCCTTGGACAACAGTTTGATCTCCAAAATATATAAAGAATTCACATGACTCCACACCAGGAAGACAAATAATCCTACTAAAAAATGGGCAAGATTTGAACAGACACTTCTCCAAGGAGGACATACAGAGGGTCCAGAGACATACGAAAGGATGCTCAGCATCACTAGCCATCAGAGATGCAAATCAAAACCACATTGAGATACCACTTCACACCGGTCAGAATGGCCATTATAAACCAGCAAACAACAAGTGCTGACAAGGTTAGTGGAGAAAAGGAAACCCTAGTGCACTGTTGGTGGGAATGCAAACTGGTGCAGCCCCTGTAGAAAATAGTATGGAATTTCCTAAAAAAACTAAAAATGGATTTGCCTTTTGACCCAGAAATTCCACTGCTGAGATTATACCCTAAGAACCCTGAAACATCAATGCAAAAGAACCTATGCACCCCAATGTTCATAGCAGCACAATTTACAATAGGCAAGTGCTGGAAACAGCCTAACTGCCCATAACTAAATGAGTGGGTCAAAAAACTGTGGTACATTTACACAATGGAATACTACATAGCAGAAAGAAAGAAGGAGCTCCTACCCTTCACAAAAGCATGGATGGAACTGGGGAGCATTATGTTAAGTAAAGTAAACCAGGTGGTAAAAGACAAATACCATATGATCTCACCTATAAGTGGAACCTAGTGAACAAAACAAACAAGAGAGCAAAATAGAACCAGAGACATGGAAATAAAGAACAAACTGACAGTAACCAGAGGGGCAGGCTGGAGGGGGATAACAGGGCAAAGAAAGGGAAGGGTCAAGTCAAGGAATGTGTATAAAGGACCCATAGACAAAGACAAGGGGGGATTGAGTCTGGGAGGAGGGGGTGGGTAGAGCAGGGAAGAGTAATGCGGGGGGGGGGGGGGATGGGAATAACTATAATTGCACAACAATAAAATAGGGCCATTACCCTCATTGAATTATCATGAAGAATAAATGATGATACATTAAAAAAAAGAAAAGGGCATTGCAGGATTTATCTTACGATGAATGAAATTCAGCCTGTGGATATTAGTTTGTTAATTATGAAGCAAATGAAGCTAATAGTGCACTCAGGGCCAGAACGTCCTTTGGATTCAATACTCAGTACCTCTTGGTTAGTCCTGTCTTGACTCAGAAAACCTCTCAAAGGGACAAAGAACTAAAACAAATGACTACAATCACTTCAAACAAGGCATAATAGTTCTGGGAGTTCCTGATAATGAAGGGTCTTGGAAGAAATCTAGTTACTGCTCTATGTCTACATAGAAAGGTAAGCATCACTTTCACTTTGGAATTTTTTTAACATTTTTTTATTGATTATGCCATTACATTTGTTCTATTCCCCCCCTCCGTTCCCCTCCACCCTGCATGCCCCTCCTCCACCATTCCCCCCTTTAGTTCATGAACACACACGTGTCTCAAGTTCTTTAGATTCTGTATTTTCCCTACTATTCTTACCCTCCCCTATCTATTTTCTATCTACTGTCTATGCTACTTATTTTCTGTACCTTCTCCCCCCTTCTCCATCAGACTGTCAGTGGATTTCACAAAAGAGACCTTAGAGGCAAGAAGGGGCTGGAAAG